AAGATATGCTCTTCTGAAATACTAAAAGTTTTTAATCTGTGAACACTGTCATTGAGTTTTTAAGATCTTTTTGTGACCTTTCTGAAGGTCCAGAGTTCTCTCCCTCTTTCCAAAGCTCCTTCCCCAAGAAACTCCTAAGAAAGATCTATCAGATCAATAGTTATGGCTCACTGCAACAGTTGTTTTTAATTTGCTGCAGTGTATTCTTATGTTTTGGAAGGAATTGATTGGGAAGGTGCGACTCCTTCCCCTTGGACATGTGCATACAGCACTGCATCTCCAAGGGGAGAAAATGCCGTGCCTGAAAGGTAACTCTAGAAATTTCCAAATTGCTGTTCTATACAGGCACAGAGCCCATCATTGTGAATGCACAGATGACCACTCTCAAAGAATAACAATTAAAGATAAGTAACTATCTTTATGTGCCTGTAGCATTACTGCTATCTTATCCCATTTCATCACTTTCTTTCTAAAAAGTAATTAGGGTGATGAATTTACCTACAATGATATCTGTTTTCATATTATAAAAGTACTTGATACAGCTGGTCTGAGTGATGGTTGCAGTGTCAGTTTGATTTTTTTAATTAACGTTGCTATCTTAGCCATGTTGAAGTATTTTGTGGATTATCTTTAGAGATGGGATGGACAGGAAGTTAAGTATAAAACCATCTGGCTTCTTCTCCAATTACTGCCATCTTACCATTATGTTAAAGTAGTTTCTACCGTTATGTTTATTACTAGGCGTAAGGCCCGTTATAGGAAGAAATACAACGAGCTCTAGAAGGAAGCTCCAGGTGAATGTCTGGCTGTGGCTGGTGGGGCAGCAGAGGGAAGGGGAAAATAGAGGGAGGCAAGCCATGTTTCTTTCCTTCTGTTTAGTTATAAGGCAGGGCTGTCTCGAGTCATTTTTCTGCCCAAAGTGGGTAGTATGGGAGGACAGCCTCATGGTAACTGGTATGGTTCCCTCCACCCCTGACTTATGTTGATTTGGGGTTATGCAGTGGCAGCTAAGGTAGAAAACCACCTCCTCCTATGCCATGTCTTCTGGGTTCCAAGGGTCTGGAAAGCGGTTCCATAGCCAGTTACAGGGTTACCAACTCTGGGTTGGGAAATACCTGTAGATTTCAGGGGTAGAGCCTGGGGAGTGAAGGGGTGGGGAGGGACCTCAGCAGGGTATAATGCCAGAGTCCACTGGCCAAAGCAGCCATTGTCTCCAGGAAAACTGAACTTGGTCATCTGGACATTAATAGCTGGAGATCTCCAGGTGCTGCCTGGAGGTTGGCTTATGTTAATTTGGGGCTATGCAGTGGCAGCTAAGGTAGAAAAGCACCTTGTCCTATGCCATGATTTCTGGGTTCCAAGGGTCTGGAAAGTGGTTCCATAGCCAATTACACGGGTGCCAACTCTGGGTTGGGAAATACCTGTAGATTTGTGGGGTAGAGCCTGGGGAGGGCAGGGTTTGGGGTGGGGAGGGACTTCAGCAGGGTATAATGCCATGGAGTCCACTGCCCAAAGCAGCCATTGTCTCCAGAAGAACTGATCTTGGTCATCTGGAGATCAGTTGTAATAGCTGGGAAATTTTCTGTAGGGGAAATGATGTGCTGTGGCTGGGGAACACGGTGATTTTTGGGAGATCTCCAGGCCCCACAGGGAGATTGCCAACTCCAGTGACCGTTTAAGGGAAGATTGGGATATGTATTTTACCTCAAGACACATTCAATGACTTGCAACAGCAAACTGTTTAGAAAGTTAGAGGCAAAGGCCAATCAGGCCACGTATGCAAACGACCTCTGTTCTGACTGGCTATAGGGAGGAGAGGAACAGCAAACTGTTTGGAATGTTGGAGGCGGGACTCAGGCAACACAGCCAGTGGGTAGGGACAGCTTCTGAGTGACACATCATGGAGCCAACTGATTTACGAGCGTGTGGAATATTCAGAAAGTGCCACCCCGCTTCACAATTATATATAAGGAGAGATATGTGTACGAAGGTAGGCAAGCTCCAACTCACATGCATATTGTACCATTTGGCTTGGCACCTTCTGACCTTGAAGCATGGACAGTCGTGCCGGGGCTCGATTTTTCTCCCAACATGGTCCCTTTCCCTCCAGTTTTGTTGTTTGTTTGTTTGTTTGTTTTTGCTACCATCTTCCAGTTGGGTTGTGGCAGTGTGACTAGGCATGTTGCAGCATTTGATTTGTTTGGGTTATTTCCAGAGCAGTTCAAAAAAGAATTGCTCTGAACAGTTGCTTTGCGTAGCATATCTATAGTCAAAATTTCTAAGGCATTGAGGAGCACTGCCAGAAGTTCAGTTTTCTGCACTTTAATAGAGTTTTAAACTATGTTTTTATTTCAGGTTTAATGATCTGTGTTTCATACATTCTTTCTCTCTGCAGTGTTCTTTTTCCAGTTAGCATTTCAAAATTTGTATTCTGTAATAGCAAAACTGCATTGATAATTATAGGGACAGTTTCATTGCTAACTTTGATTAAAAATAGATTGACTTCAGTCTTCTCCATGCCATCTGGCTTACTAGACTTTGTATGGTTAAATATGTTTCTCCCTAATGAAGTAAAAAAACTTTTCATATAATCTCGAGTTCCTGCAAACTCTTTTAATGATTTATAGTTTTGGTATCCTTTAATAAATATTGGATGTTGGAAGTTAATTACTTGATATAGATCTGAGTTTTTAAAAGATGAAAATGTTGTCTTTCAGTGAATGAATTTTTAGTTCATGAAGGTCCTGTGCTACTGGATATGCGCATTAAGCATCTGATGAAATCAAAGCTGTTAACTCAAGCAACTATCCTAGCAAAACTGTGCTCTGATCACCCAGAAATTGGTATCAAAGGCAATTTTAAACAAACTTTCCTGGTCTGTCTTTGCTCTGGATCACCAAATGAAAAACTTATGCAAGAGGTGAGTATATGTTATGTGACTCTTAAAGCAACAGTGTTCAAAGTCATTCCACTGTGAACGGAATATTAAGAAAACACTTAAGATTTCATATTGGGAGGATTTCTGAGAAGGGGCTTATTTATACACATATTCTTGAATAGTTAAGTCTGAATCTGTTCACAGAGTAAAATATAAAGCTCATTAAGTGTTGCTGAGGTTCTTACATTGCAGGAAAGATTCCATCATTTAGGAAATACTGGGTTGAATCAAGACTAAATTTTCCATCTGTGGAATGTCATTTCACTTCAAAAGTTCAAAAAGATTGCCAGTTTCAACTAAGCAGTGTTCTGACATATATGCATCTCTCAAACACTTCTCACACAGAACTCATCAATCATAATTACCGTATTTTTCGCTCCATAAGACGCACCTGACCTTAAGACGCACCTAGTTTTTAGAGGAGGAAAACAGGACGGAGACGCTCTCTGCCAAAGCCCCGCTCAGACCCACGTGGAACTCCACCGGGCCAGCCGGCTCGTCCCTGGCCGGCCCACACACGACGACGCTGCCCCAGCAGGGCTGGGCGAGCAGGCGAGTGCACTGCACGCGGCTGGCTGGCGAGCGGCGGCAGCGCTTTCTCTGGGGCCGGAGGGAGGAGCCGCCCTCTAGAGGCGCCTCTCCTCTCAGCAGCCTACTTAAGCGCTGTGCCAGCCGGCCAACCCCGCCAGTCTCTCGCCACTGCCAGCGTTTCCTCGGCTTCTTGGCAGTCTTTGTTCGGCTCACCCCTTCCCAGACTCGCCATCTCTTTGTTGCGGTATTCACTCCATAAGACGCACACACTTTTCCCCCACTTTTTTTTGGCGGGGAAGTGCGTCTTATGGAGCGAAAAATACGGTAAGTCTTAAGAATCTCTTTTGAAAGACATATCCCCAAACAATTATTCAAAAATACCTAGGAACCTTCTGTGCTTGTTTTGATACATAGTTCACCTTGCCCTAAGGGCTAAGGATAAATCACAGGCATTGTTATAAACAGTGGGTTGGATCCAGACCAATGCCTGCTGCAGCCCCCCACCCATGTTGTTGCTTAGGGTCCACAGAGTATTACTCCTGGATGATAGCATACCTATGTTGCTGCTTAGGGTCTGCTGTCATCTAGGAGTAGCATTTTGTGGAAATCACGGCTGCAGTGGGAGGGGGAGCCAGGAAAATTCCAAAGTTTATCTAACTGGCTTTACTATTGCACTGGGCTGCAAATAGCTACCACAGGCCTCTAAACAGCAATTTTCTCTGTGGCCCCCCCTACTAGCCAAACCCAGTACCAACATCATGTGAAATCAAATTGCTTTACTTCTGTGGCTTCACAGTCCTTATGGCGACCAGGTCACTTAAATTTTCACACACACACATACACATCCTGCTATCTTGGCAGACATGGTAATGTAATTCTTAAATTATTCTGCAAAACACATTTCTTTGCAAAAGCTTGAATCTTTAATTGTCAGTATGGAAGCCATGTTAAATTTTGATTTGGTTTGCAAAGGGTGTTTCACGCAACCCTGCAGTTCTAGTAGACAAGTAGGTGTGACCTTCATCTTTTTACAGTGCTAGTGTTTATGCACAGACTGTATTTTAAACCTAGTTCCTGCTGAAGTGGTAAACCTTTCTGGGTGCATCACTTCAGACTGATGATATGGGCTCACGTAATGGGATGTTCTTTCAGACAAAAAACCCATAAATATATGTAGGAGTCTGCTTATAGTGGAGCCATCACATTTTCTTTGTGGAGGGATTTTTGTATGGAGAAGCATTCAATCACGTGTTTTTCTTCTTGTAATCTAGAAGTGGTACAGCCCAAGTTTTAAGTCCTGAGCATCTATTATTTATTATTAATTTCTAGTAGACTTTGTAATCCAAAGTGCTATATAACTTTTCCTCATTCTCACACCTACCTTGTGAGAAAGTAAGTATGCAGCTGAGACAATGAGAGTCTGCATCAAGTACTATCCACATTAGGTTCACATTCATAGATCTGTTGTTCACAGTGTAGCCTGCAAAGTACAGGCACAGTTTTAAAGTTAGGCCTGACTACTTTTTTTTTCTCCTTTGAACCTTCCTCCTCCACAGTCTTCTCCCTCCTATGTCTGGATGGTGGTATTTGAAAGATACCTGTGGCTACTGCCTATTTTGTCTACGTAGTAAATCCAGGTAGGGTGTTTCACTGGACCCTACCAGTTACTTCTGCCTCCTTTTTTGCTGCCACTACTCAGAATTTTTCTTTAAAATGCATCTCTAAGTATGCAGTATCAGCTCTGCTCAGATTTATAGCAAAGTTCCAGTTTAAAGATAGATCTCTTCCTAACCTGTTCCTGGTAAGGAGGTAATGGGCATAAGATATTAATAAGGTATTAACCAAGGTTTCTTTAAAAAGAAATCACTATTAAAAATATTCAAACTTGTATTACTGTTCTTGGTACATGAGCAAGTAGATTTATTCAGAAGTTAACATACATCTCTGCCCCAGTGGCTCAACTATTTCAATTAACTGTAATAGATCTCAGAACTATAACATATGCTAAACTGTTAGCTGTAATGTTTTCTGTTCTGTACTGTCTTTTAATACTATCTTTTTAGCAGTAAACACCTTTATCTTTTTAATTCCCTGGACTCCATTACTCCTTGCTTCAGTATCCTCCCCCCTACTGTCCAGCTTTATCCAGTACAATTTCTGTGTTATTCCTCTTCAACTGTTAGTCCTCCAATGTTTAGTCCTCCGATGTTTCTTCTCTTTTAGGCTTGGATTCCACCAAAAAAAGTTATCACTGACAGAAGGAATGCCTGAAATGCTGCTCCTGGGTGGGGGGGAACCTGCAGGAACAGCATGAAGGGGTCTAAAGTGGAATAGGGAAAGTAGCAAAAGTCACCTCCCTTTCATTAGTGGAAATGTTGTGTGGGATCCAGCCCCTTGGTTCAGAAAAGGCTCCCCCAAGTGAATACAGGGCTGTTTGTTTGACTAATCATATGTTAGTTTTTTTTCCCAACCAACGGATTCTTGTTCTACAATTTAAAATAATATAACTTAGAGCTCCTAAATATACATATCTAAAAGCTATACCATGTATCGAAACTGTTTGACAAAGTAATTTCATCACAATACCTAAGACCTGTCCTCTTCCCCCTCTTTTAGCTTGCCTGCCAGAACTATTATGGTTTTAGCTGCTAGCAACCCACTCACCCCTCCATTTATGGACTATTTTTTACTTTACAGTAATGTAAGGGGGATGAAGTATGCATGAATTGTGATTCATTTTAACATTCCGGTATGTCATGTGAAAAGAAACTTCAAATGCAGCAGAAGCCCTGAATGAAAGGGCTTCTTACACCCTTTTGTACATTTTACTGACAAGAAGACAGAACATAAACTTGCATTTCCATTCTGTTTTATTGTACAGTAGTATGTAAAGCCATCTTAGGGGGGGTGTACATTGTCTCATCTTACTACGAGCTGTCTCATCGCACTATAAGCTGCTTTCCCTGGTTTCAAGGAAGAATGAGTCTCCAGTGGCTTGGACATGTGTGTATTATTAATTACAGAATGATAGGAGGAGGATTGCTAGGTTTTAAGTAGTCAGATGCCTTCTCCAGTATGATTCTAACAGTGGCAACTTCAACCAATGTTCCTTCTTTGGTTAAGTGCAGATGCAGCCTTGGAACCACCAGAACATTTCCATGGACAAAAGAATTTCTGCTTGCAGAGCATGACCTTTTTTTGCTTTCCCTTTCTTGCAGCCCAACATGTCCTTCCCTGAAATGCTGTTCCTGGGGATCCAAACCACTGTTCCCCAATGTCTTAACCGAGGTTAAGAAATAAGGAGTGTCCATATGTTCATGCATTCTCCTTTCTTAAATTCCTTCTTTTTCAGCTTTATCCATGGTGTATCTTTTGTCTGCACCCATGATTAATGCTAACTATGGTGAACTTTAAAACCAATTTTACAGTAAACTATGGCAGTTTGTCTGAAGTTTTGGTCCTGAATTTGTCTTGAATTATTTTACCTAAAAATAAATTTTGTGATCATTTTTTGTTTGTTTTCCATTTCAGATTGCAGACATAGATTGCAAAGATGCTTTAGAAATGATCTGTAATCTAGAATCTGAAGGAGATGAAAAGAGTGCTCTGATTTTATGTGCAGCGTTCTTATCTCGACAACTGCAGCAAGGAGAGATGTACTGTGCATGGTAGGTTGGAATCTTTCTTTCAACTGTACTAGAGCTGTGCAGCCAGGGTTCAGCATATTTACAAATGGAGTCATTGAACAAAGGTGGCAGAAGCCTTAGTAAAGGCCCAAAGTGTCCATTTCTCAGGATAAAAGGCCATGTTATATAAGAATTAAGAACACTGGCGTTACTCATTTCTTTATTTTACAGAAACTTCTAATGTCTTTGCAATAATCTAACTTCTAGTATACTTATTGTATTTATAATAAAGTTAATAGTATACTAGGAAATAAGGCCCGTTGCAGAAAGAAATGCAACAAGCTCTAGAAAGAGTAAGCAAGTAAGAGAAAAGTAAGACAGTATTGAGGGTCGTGGAGGCCCCACGCAGTGATCCGCCTGGCCAGCCAGGCTCTCACTTGCTCGCGTTATGTCATATCTCTGCCGGGCCAGCCCCATGGCCCGGCCAGCTCCATCCCTGCAGCCACCAGCGTCAGCACCACCACCGCGCCGTCCTCCCCAGCAGGAGATGCGTCGCCGCTACCCCCTCCTCTTCCCCCGCCTCCCTTTCTTCCCTATGACTGGTGTTTGCGTGAAGCTGCAGAGCTGGCTCGGGAGTGGGTAGCTGTCCCCTGTCCTCCACCTGGGTGGTTCCTGCCCTGCTCCGACTTTCGCAGCGCAGCTTTTCCGCAGTCATCCTTCCCCGCCCCGCCTCTCAGCCACCGTAAAGAGATTGAGGCGGGCAACGGAGGCGGCACGTGAGGTGGAGCCAGGTCAAGCGGCCATCGCCGGGGAGGAGAGGTGAGCCAGCGGGGCAGCAGGAGGAGGGAAAGCTGGGTCCGCGCTCCATGCATGGGGTGTGCGAGGGATGGGGGGGGCGCAGCAGGAGAGGACTGAAGCAAGGGCTCCCCTCCCCAGTCCCAACGCTGTACATGAGCTGAAGGGAAGGAGGCCCCAGCCATGCCCAGCCCCAGGGAGAGTCCCGTCCACACCTTCCATCGGCTCTGAGCACACTGAGCGCCAGACGCCGGACACCACCTCTGTGGGCGGGTGGATGGGACTCCAGTCACGCAGCCATTGGCACACCGTCTGACTGACAGGTCTGGGAGCCAAAGTCTGCAGGAGCATGGGCAAGAGGGACACAAAAACTCTTTTATATATAAGGAGAGATAACAAAATTAGTTTTATTTGGAATTCTGGGAGGCTATTCAGATCTCTTCCTTTCATGACAACATTTTGTGAAATTGTATTACATTCTTTGCTAACACTAGCAGACTGTTCCTTGTGAGTATAAAATTCTACTAGAATATCAATCGAAATGTTTTAAAAAATTAAAAGCTCCAATATTTAGAATGGAATCCTCAGAATTGCTGTTAAATGTGTTTTAAGCTTGATTTTAGGAATGATAGACAGCTTCATTCTGCATTACAGATCTCTGATTTATATAAAACTTAGTAAGCTGCAAATGATTTATGTTTTTCTGCCAAAATATAGGCGAGATAGGTTGCCTCTTCTGTTGTTATCTGCTAGTTAGCCCAAATTAGCTTCTCTTTTCTTGCTCTTCACCCTTTCTCTGCTTACAATTGAAAATTGATTTGATAAATTATAGTATTTATGGTGTTTCAATTTTAGTATAATTTAACTTTGTAAAAACACATTTACAGGGAACTGACTCTCTTTTGGAGCAAGCTACAGCAAAGGGTTGAGCCTTCGATACAGATATATCTGGAGAGATGTCGTCAGTTGTCTGTGTTAACGAAGACAGTATATCACATTTTCTTCCTAATTAAAGTAATCAATTCAGAGGTAAGGTATGAAAAAGTGTTATTTCTGTGATGTTAATTAAATACCAAATTTTTGAGCTGAAAATAAAATCAGGTAGTTGCTAAACACCAGCCAGCCAGTATAGTGAGCTTAATGCATGAAAACATTGTTATTACGATTTCCATAGAATCCATATAAGGAATTTGTGCCTGTATAATACAGCAGTTGGAATCTTCTGGAGAACAGATGCTTTAGAAAAACCCAGGCGGGTATCTGCTTTATGTTTGCAGAGAGCACCCATTCAGAAACAACTGCCTCAATCATAGGAGACCATTGACTTGCAACCTCCCAAGATTCTGTGATTGGCCCCAGCATCCCATGGCAGCTGTTTTGATATTTGCCCTGACCTTTTCCCATATCAGCCATATTTGATGGTGCCAGCTTCCTGTTCTCATAATTCCAAAAGCTTAACAAACAGTTTATTGTGATCTGTGAATAGAGTCCTGGTCTGCTTTTTCATATGTCACTGCAAAGGGACACAGGTGGGGCAGACATCTTCCTGAGATCCCTAGATTGCTACTGCCAGTCAGAGTAGGAAATACTCTGATCATATTCAGTATCTTAGAGCATTCATTATGTCAAACATTATGAAGTCTATTAAAAGTAAACAAAGAATCTTCCTTCTTACATGTAATATTGCCTCACTAAATTCCCATAAGTGGGATGTCACTAAGGCACCAAGAAAACAAGTTCTTACTTGTGCTGTGATTAGTTTCTGCTTAGTGCTAGATCCTTTTGTTATACCCACCACAGGGGTTCAGGGATGATTTGCCTTCATAATTGTTAGAATGAAACTGAACAGGAAATGCTGGCAATGTCCATTCATGGATAAAATATGGCAAGTCTTGTCTGAGAGAAGGGACTTTAGCAATCTCTTGCAGATTTTAATCTGCAGAAGGTTCTGATTATTGTCCAGTAGAAAGGCTGGTCCCCTGTGTACCTCTTGGACAGAAAGTCAATTGACATTTCAGAGTATGATAAGTAGAATATAATAATTCAGCACTCTGTTCTGGCATTGCATATATCATGATGACCATGGAACATTTTTCTTATGGCTTTATTGGTTGAGAATGAGGGTAACAGCCTATCTGTGGGTTCTAATTATTTCTCAAGTCAAGAATGAGCAGTATAAAATCTATGGATTGCATCTGTCACCATTCCCTCCCTCAAGCCTTTTTTAAGCCCATAAAGCCTGTGCTTCCGTCATGTTGAACATGGCAAGGGAGGGGCAGTGATTTTTCCATAGAAGACATTTGGTGGGCCAATTGCATTCAGATGTACTTTGTTTGTCCAGCCCTAAGTCATTAAGATGTCTGTATAAATATAAATAGTGTTACCAACACTAAGGTCAGGCCTTAGTTCTCCCAGAATTACAGTTGATTAGTTCCCCTGAAATAAATGGCTGTTTCAGAAGGTAGACTGTAGGGCATCATAGATTCAGGTGGGTAGCTGTGTTAGTCTGAAGCAATAGAACAAAGTTTGAGTCCAGTGGCCAACCTTTAAGACCAGCAAAGTTTAATTCTGGGTATAAGCGAGAACTGAGTGACTTAGCATGTAGAGTGTGATAAGAACCCAATATCTGTGTTAAGCCCTAGGGATTCCATTGCTTTTAGTGTTGTAATAACTTGTAATTCAGCAATCTCCCATTCTAAAATTCCTTTGCAATAAAACAGCTACTTTGAGGTCCCCCATTCAGTGTAGTTATTAGTGTAATAGTCAGATGTAAGGAATCCAGGCTCTGCATAGCTATATTTCTACTATCTGCTATGCAATCTCTTTTCAAGAATGTAAAATATTAACAGAAAATAACAGACATTTATTGATTGAAAGAAATTATACAGACTACATAAAATTTATGAATGTAGATACTACAGTTGTAGTGAAATTAGTGTATAAAACCTTGTCTGTTCCTTTACAGATTGAAGCTGCTGGACTTGCAACCTGCATTGAACTATGTGTGAAAGCATTGCGCTTGGAAGCCAGTGAGAACACAGAAGTCAAGATTTCCATTTGCAAGACTATATCTTGCTTATTGCCTGATGATTTGGAAGTTAAACGTGCTTGTCAACTGAGTGAATTTCTTCTGGAGCCTACGGTGGATGCATACTATGCTGTTGAAATGTTGTATAATCAGCCTGACCAGAAATATGATGAAGAAAACCTTCCAATACCAAATTCATTACGTTGTGAGCTCTTACTTGTATTAAAAACACAGTGGCCTTTTGACCCAGAATTTTGGGACTGGAAAATGCTAAAGCGTCAATGTCTTGCTTTGATGGGAGAGGAGGCATCAATTGTATCTTCAATAGATGAGCTGAATGACAATGAAATGCATGAAAAGGCAGAAGAGTGCCAAGAAGAGAACAAAGAAACTTCAGTGAATGGACTTCCTGGATGCTTTGATGAAGCTACAAATTTACTTCGAGGGATTAGAGATAAAAAGCAGAAAAACAGAGAAATAAAAAAGTTGAGAGAGCGAGGATTCATATCAGCTAGGTTCAGGAACTGGCAAGCCTACATGCAATATTGTGTATTGTGTGACAAGGAGTTCCTTGGACATAGGATAGTTAGGCATGCACAGAAACACTATAAAGATGGAATTTACAGTTGTCCCATATGTGCACAAAACTTTAATTCTAAGGAAACCTTTGTTCCTCATGTAACACTGCATGTTAAGAAATCCAGTAAAGAGAGACTGGCTGCCATGAAACCTTTAAGAAAACTAGGAAGGCCACCTAAAACAGCAACTGCAGGTGTGACTAAGAAGAAAAATACTGTAGTTAAGCAGGAACAACGGCATATAAAAAAGAACAGTCTTTATGCAGCAGACTTCATTGTTTTCAATGATAATGATGGCTCTGATGATGAAAGCTATGAAAAAGACAAACCTTACATTCCAGAGATGATACCAGTTCAAAAGCCAATGCCTGTAAATGAATTTACCTGTCCAGTTACTTTGTGTAAAAAAGGTTTTAAATACTTTAAAAATTTAATTGCACATGCAAAAGGTCATAAAGACAATGAAGAAGCTAAGCGCTTTCTTGAAATGCAGAGCAAAAAAGTAATTTGCCAGTACTGTAGACGACACTTTGTAAGTGTTACCCACCTCAATGACCACTTACAAATGCACTGTGGCAGCAAACCTTATATTTGTATACAAATGAAATGTAAGGCTAGCTTTAACAGTTACGCTGAACTACTGAGTCATAGAAAAGAGCACCCAGTCTTTAGGGCAAAGTGCATGTTCCCTAAATGTGGGAGAGTGTTTTCTGAAGCATATTTGCTTTATGATCATGAAGCACAGCATTATAATACCTACACCTGCAGATTTACAGGTTGTGGAAAAGTTTACCGTTCTCAAAATGAATTAGAAAAACATATTGAAGATCACACCAAACAGTCTGAAAAAATACTGCAGCCTGATGGTGAGGCTAATTGTTCTCAATCTTTAGAAGATAATGAAGCTTTTGAGGAGATAAATCTGAAAGAGGAATTGGTGTTGCCATCAGAAAATAACACAAATAACTATGTCAAAGCTGAAAATTATATCACAGAGCAGGTCAAAGATGAATGGCTCAAAATCGAGAAGATAGAAGTCTCTGCTAGTATATTGGAACAGAGTAATTCACTCTCCACTGCAGGTCTGGAACAACCTTTGCTAACTCCAGCAAAGTCAGAATTGGTCGTTCCAGCCAGCAATGTTTTGATGCCTCTTCTGGGTCAGAAAATTAGAGAAAATATGGCAAGAAAGGGCAAATTACTTGCTTTAAGCACTAAAATAGATACGGCTACACCTGCAGCCCAACAGTTGTGTTCAGCAGTTGAAGATAACTGCAATGATCTTCCAGTTTTTCAGGACGAAAAAGAGGATGACCCTATTAGCCAGTCCCAGACTATTTCCATGAATTCAGTTACAACAACTTCAGCTCCAAGTTTAACAAAAAGCCCAGAAAAACAGTTAAGTCAAGTGCCTTTCAATATACAGACTGAAGTAGAGTATCAAAATTTACTTACTTCAAAACCTCAAGTTGAAGAGAGCGCTAAGACTACTACTAATCTCTGTAATCTGCCTCTGAAGACTTTAGAAGGGATTACAGTTACTCCACCCCAGCCTAATTTAGGCATACCTTTTGTTCCAGTCATCCCATTGGCAGCTCCTGTCCAGAAGTTTCCTTGCCAGGTTGAAGGATGTACACGAACCTACAATTCTGTACAGAGTATTGGCAAACATATGAAGACAGCACATCCTGATCAGTATGCTATATTTAAGATGCAGCGCAAGAATAAGAAAAGTCGAAAAACAAGCAATTTGCAAAGCTTGCCAAATGATAGCAAAATAGTTTATTTTTTGCCATCACAAGTGGCCTCTCCCACTAGTGAGGCTTTTCCAAGGCAAGCCAAAATCAGTTTAAACCCCTCATGTACGAGCCAGTTGCAGCAGCTCTCTAATGCTCTTTTCCCAACACGCCTGGAAAGTATGACTGATTCAATATTGCCTACTGTGGAAAGTATAAACACAGGTCTGTCTCATACTAAAAGTGAACCAGTGACTGCATTAGGCTCCCAAATTGAACATTTGTCCAGTGCAACTTTATCTTCACAACTGGATGATCTGGAAAAGCCAGTTATGCCTTTGAACATTGACAGTGGTTCAGATCCTTTCCTCCCTTTGCCTGCAGAAAATGGCCCAATTTCTCTCTTTCCTTCACCAACAGACAATGGTCCAAGTTCTGTCTTTTCACAAATGGAAAGTACCAATCATTTTGCTTCCCAACTAGAAGGAAACACTAATTCTGCTTTCTCAAAAGAAGAAAGTGTTGACTCGTTGTTTCCCTCTCAAGTGAATAATGATAACTTCAGTGAAGTCACTCCACAGTCTCCGCTATCAGCAAAGGCAAAAAAGGATCGTAAACGAGGTACAGATGGGAAAGAGAGAAAACCAAAGCATAATAAACGGGCAAAATGGCCAGCGATTATCCGGGATGGTAAATTTATTTGTAGTAGATGTTACAGGGTTTTTTCTAATCCCAGATCCCTTGGTGGTCACTTGTCTAAAAGGTCATACTGTAAACCTCTAGATGAATCTGAGATTTCTCCAGAAGCTCTACAGCTTAATGGACAATCCTCTCTATTTGCCAGTATGATTCTTTCTTCAAATGCTTTAAATTTACAGCAGCAGCATGAATCAACATTTAATCCCGAAATATGTTTTAAAGAGCCATCATTCCTGCAGCTGCTTGCAACTGAGAATCGGTCTGCTGCTTTTTTACAGAACTTGTTTCCACGGACCAGTATGACTAATTTCAATACAAATGAGAATGAGGAAGGAAATGAAATTATAAAGCAGGCCTTGGAAACTGCAGGTATTCCAAGTACATTTGATTCTACGGAAATCCTGCCACACATAGTTACTACAAGTTGCGTCTCTGGTACTAGTCAAATAAATGCAACTGTTTTGCCCAATCCAGGAGTGTCACCTCTGTTACAAGCTATGTGCAGCCCTGGTACCTTGCTAACAGACCAAAATAGAATACTTAACACCAAAATTTCCTCCATAGATGAATGCAGCAGTTTACCTGTATTTCCAGATGAGTTAATACTAAGGACAATTGAAAATGGTTTATGCCCCAGCTTGGTTTCTAATTCTCCTGCCTCATCACATAACTTCGGAAATAACACTTCACGAGCTTCAGTCATAAGTAGCATTAAAAATTCAGAATCTTGTAATTTGAATAAAAAAGGGGTCAGTGGTTCAAAGAAAAAGAAGAAAGCAGTTGCTTCTTTAGTTGTGCCGAACATTTCCCAGAAATTAATAGTTAATGATTTAACAGCATTGGGGCTTTTAGCTAAAAACATTGAAGGAAGTGTGCAAGCATCCACAGAGAACTTTCAGTCAAGTGTATTGACAAACTGTGAATCTCCAGTGTTAATGGAAAGTCTTACACAGAAACTAAGTAATGTAGTCAATGAAGTAACAGCAGATGTCAAAGAGAATACCGAAACCACTGAAGAAAATCATGCAGAAATTTCTCCTGCATTAGTGAAAAGTGAAAATGCTGATTCACAGTTCAATCTAGGTTCTTGCACTCAAGGAAACTCTGAATTAGGTATCTCAGAGGTTAATGTTATTCAGAATTATGAGAAGACACTTGAAATGATTAAAACAGCTATGAACTCCCAGTTGGTTGAAGTAAAAACTGAAATCCAAGAGGTGTCAATTGAGTCACTGCAGAAAGCCCAAATGAATGTTGCTGAATCTTCTTCAGAAAACTCATCACAAAATGTTAAGTCATCCAACCCTACTCAAGTTGTCATACACACACTGAATGTCACTGCTAGCAAAATGAACCCTTCTCAGTCTGAAAGCTCTCACAAAGATGATACTCAGATTATGGAAATTTTAGAAGGTTTGAAAAAGTTGAAATTAGAAAATGAAATGCCTAGTCAAACATTAGACAGTGTTATTCATTGTCTTCCAGGAGATGCACTGCTGCCACAGATTCTTGTTCCTGTTGTAGCATCTGAGAACAAACCTCTTGCACAGCCATCTTCAGAAGCACCCACTCAGTTCATTGAAAAAGTCCATAAGCCTTTTATGTGCCAGGCATCAGGGTGCAATTACAGTGCTATGACAAAGGATGCGTTATTTAAACACTACAGCAAAATACATCAATATACTGCTGAAATGATACTAGAAATCAAGAAACACCAGTTAAAGTATGCTCCCTTTAAATGTGTTGTAGCTACCTGTCCAAAAACGTTTACAAGGAATTCTAATCTCCGGGCTCATTGTCAGCTGGTGCATCACTTTACAACAGAGGAAATGGTAAAATTGAAATTAAAAAGGCCATATGGGAGGAGAT